TCTCACAGTACTGTTACCCTAGCCAGGGGCCTGTAGAATTTTTCTTAGGGATTAAAGTCTTTTAAAAAGCCTCTGTGTGTGTGCGTGTGTTTTCTTTCCCTTTTCTGAGAACTTGAAATTATGTGGTAGGGTGAACATAATTCTTTAAATTTGTCTTCAAATCATGGCAGCATTTCAGTGTTGCTCATGTGGGATTGACTGATCTTGGAAAAGCTGGGGAAGTCGCTGGCTATTGCAGAATTTCTGTAACGTAGGGACCAGCTATAAGTGGTATTTTTGGTTTTTTTATGTAGTTTAAGTATGTAATTGTTGCTGTATGTATCTTTTATGTACAAATGTTCTTTCTTATACAGATTGCTTTCACAGACTGATAGAACTTTGAATAATTTTTTCCCTGAAGAAATGTTGAACCCCGTGCAAGCTGTTAGAATTAGAGTGTATGTTGAAGGCTGTAATGGGACTGCTGTTCCAGAGCTGCACGGCTTCTTTCTTTCTTAAAAAAAAAAAAATCATGATTCCTTTGTTTATTTACAGATGACTGAATATGTTCAGGCAAGAAAATATGCCCATATTTCAAAATTCAGCAGCCTATAGACAAAATACTTACCTACCATTTTTCTAAAAGACACCTCTTTTCTGTAATTTGTATAGAAAATTAAGTGCAGTTCTTGTCTCCCAGTATTGGTATGGAAGGGACGGGGAAGGGGAGTTACCTACTGTAAACCTTGAACCCTGCATTTAAAATCTTACTTGAAGTAAGCACAGAAATCTTGTACTTCGGTGTTTTCAGAATAAAACAAGAATCCCAGTTCTCTGTTAATGTGTTGGTGCCCACGAACAGCGTTACATCAAAGACACCTAATTTAGACAAAACTCAGCCCCCCAGGATTGCCATATTTTGTTAGAGCTAATGCTGCTGATGTGTCAGGCAGAGTAACTTCTGTGACTGTCGCCCTGTACTGGTCGCTGTACTGCGTATTACACCTTCTTCCGTAACTGCCTCAGTAACCCGGGGGTAGATATTATCACCACCTTATAGGTGGGGAAAGCAAAGTTGAGAAAATGGCCATTTGCCCAAGGTCACATGGCTCGTTGTTGGTGAAATTGGAATTTGAACCCATGGATTTATTAGCCCCGAGTTCTTCCAGATCAGGTACATCCTAAGGGGTCTAAAGACCTCTGGCATTTTTTTCTTTTTTAAACTATTTGGAAACCCTTGAATTGGTATAGTATAAATGGAAATCTGCATTGCCTTTAGAATGGTCTCAGATTGAGGGTAGGGTGGGGGCAGCTGTGAATACTGTTACAAAAATTATATAATACAGAAAAGTAGAACACGTGAAGTGCTCTGAGTTGTCCATAGTGAAGAAAGTCTTATTTCTGGGAATTAATTTTTTTCATAAATCAGTGATGGTAAACTACCATGGTGGGGGTTTCTGAAGTCTCACTGTGTTATTTCCTGCTTCCCCATGTATTTTCTGTGTGAAAAGTTTGTACCGGAGGTGTGCGAGGCCCTGGTATGTTTCTTACATGTAACTTGGACCGTAATATTACTGTGTTCTCATGACTGAAATATTTCTTTTAGTTGTAGTATGATGTCCATGTAGAGAAGTTACATATCATAAGTGCACAGCCCCGTGAATTGTCACAGACTGACCACACCCAGGCTGCCAACCCACGGGGCAAGAGGTAGAACACTTGCGACACCTCAGGAGCACCCATGTTGTCCCTTCCATCGCCTGGAATAGTTTTCATTTTTCCGTAGGAACCTCTCACATCCTTTCTTATCTTTTAGTTTCTTTCTGATTGGGTCTCAAACATTACTTTCAGTCTTTTTGCAACCAGAAAGAAAAAAAAAAAAACCTTCACTGAAACTTGTGTCTTCCTCCTTTCATAATCTCATCTCTTGATCAGTCTGCTTCCGTTAAACCAAAGTGTTTTGATGGCTACAAAGTCATAACTCCAGGGAATAGAGGCTGTGAGAACAGGCAGCTGTGCAGTTGACAGCTAAAAGCATGCCTTGGAATTTTCAAAACTGAATGGAAATTTGGTGGTTGAACTCAGCCATCTATTTGTTAAGAGGTAACAAGTCAGCAAATGGTAAGCTGCCCTTGTTTCGGGGAAGTGGTGATGGGAGCAGTTTCCTCCTTCTCAGAACTCTGATCAGGCTTAAAAATTACTTGTGAAGGCTGTGAGCTTTCATCCAAAACCATAGCAAATTCAGCACCGTCTTTGTAGATGCACACTCACCCACATCTGGTTCTGGTCCCCTTCTCTGTTCCACTTTAGACTCACTTGTGTTAATTGGTGCCCTTGGCTGTTCTACACATTTGAATAGAACTTAATTTTTAACTTTTAAATTACGCCATCCTGGTTTGGGGGCTTGTGTGTGAAGGCTTAGGTCCCCAGGGAACAGCTGGATGGGAAGACCTGGTCCCTGCTCACACGTGGCCAGGCTTAGCAAGCTCTTTCTCCTGGGCTTTGCCTCTAGCAGAACCAGTCTTTTAAAAGTATTGAGTCGAGAGGTTTAGAGGCATGCGTGGCAACACCTTGGCTTTCTGGCAAAATAATACTCTGGATCCTAGAATGTGATGGAGAACCACAATTTTAGCCTCCCATGTATTCAAACATTACCTTAAAAAATAACATACACTTCCTATCTCCAGACCTTCCTGGAGGAGAAAAGCATTCCAAACACCAAGTATTAATTTTGTTCTGCCGAAAACTGTGGTTCCAAAGTGGTGCCAAGTCTGGGAGTTGCCCTGGAGCTTCTGTACTGTTGGGGGGACGTTTTTCAGGGGGAGGTTTGCCTCTTCCACAGTGAAGGTGGCGAGGAGAAGGTGCACTTCTGTGGACGCTGAGGGCGGAGCACAGTTAGCCTTTTCTGCACAGTTATTGGTCACAGATTAAAACTGGCCTTTTCCAAGTGATTTCTTTATTCTGTTTTGATGCCCAGACAGGCCACAGTCACCTCCTTTTCGGTCTGGCTCTCCTCTGTCTTCCAGGAAATCTTTAGAATAGGTAAACAGCCCTCCATTTCAGGGATTTTAAAAGATATTTTGAAAAATGCTTGTTCATCGGCCTTCAGGGTTTATTATTTATTATCATCATTGTAGGATAATGCTTTATAAGATAATTACTAGGCCACATTTTTCTTTAAGCCCTTTTTGGTAGATAACAGAAGCCTGGCCTTAAACTCCTTTGCTCTCATGCTGTTGAGTCTTGTGTGTTGCCTGCACAGTGACAGGCTCCCTCCTGAGGTCACAGCATCTCCTGTGGATGCTGGCGGGTTTACCTCGGTGCTTAAGGACGTTAATGTTGTGGCAGGGAGCACGTGGAGAGCCTCTCCCTCCCAAACCTTTATGCTTGGTGTGCACTTCATAATAGTCTACACACAATTTTTCTGGACACAGCACATTTCATTGTTTTTGAAATGCAGATTTTAAAATTATGAATGTATTTTACATATATTAGTTTGTATCATCACAATATTTAATAAAATACAATTTTTTAAGGGAAAACAACGATGAAAAAAGTTTTCATCACTGAAGCTGATGGGGTTTGCCAGTAGCTGATTCTTTCAGCTCTCGGTTCACATTTATTAGTTCTTGCAAGATCTGCTGCCTTATCTTGCACTCTTAAACTCAGTGGCTGACACCGCAGGCCAGAGGTTGTCCAGCATCACAGAGAGGCACCAACCTTATAAACTTCTCAGGACACAGCCTCTGTTCAGAAGTGAATTCACTAAGAGGCATCACTTAGCTGTTTGTTGGTTATTGGTCAGTCTCATTTACCCTTCCTAAAGTTGGTCTGACTTTGAAATATCAGTACATTTACACCATGCTCTCTAAAGCAGTCCAGGTTCTAATCTGGTCACAAGTACAGCATCATGAATAAATAATTTTGTGAAGTTTTACCGACTTCCTGTTCCTGCCATGTAGGTTAACTAGCCCTGTTCCGGTCCATCAGCATTTTCCCCTGTTCGCTGTTTTGGAGTTGGGCTTAGGTTTCTATTTTCTCTTTTAAGTTACTGGCAACTTTTTTTTTTTTAATGCCTTACACCGTTTGCCTTTTGTTAGAAATCTAGAATTCAGAGGGTGGCTTTTATTACTATCCCTAGATCTGTTCTGCTCCTTACAATACTCTGCAGATGATAGTCCCATGGCCTAGCCCATCCGTGTGAGTCAGCATTGGAGAACACACTCGATTGGGATCTGAAAGTCTGCGTGGGATTCACTAGCCCGTAACCTTGGGTGGTCTTGTCACATTCCTAGGTCATTTTCACTTTATAGGATGCAGTGGCTCAGTTATATGCTGTCTGGGACTTCCGCCTGAGCTGGGCTAGTTGGCGTGCTGCCCACATTCTCCAGCTTGAATGCCTTGAAGCCCTTGGGGGTGAGAGAAGTAGGTAGGACTTGCTGTGCCTTTTCATTAAAATACTTTGTTCCTACATGAGGGCACATGGATGTGCACACAGGTTGCAGCGTGATGGACCTGTTTGGTGGCTGGCCCATACATGGGATAACCTAGAGAGGATACTAGGAAATCCCAAGATTGCAGCCCTGTGATTCTGGAGATGGGCTTGAAGATCTCCGGAGAGGTCTGAAAGCTCTCTCTGTTGCTGCTCACGTCTGTTCTGCCTCTCTCCCTTTATTCTCCAGCATCTGTGTTTGCTGTTTTCCAGAGTCTCCCCTCGGAAACTCATCTCTTGCTTTTCTCTCCCTCTGCTTTCCTACTGAGGGTTTAATGCTAGGTATTTGGGAGCCTGAATTCTCATTTCCAGATATAATTTCTTTTTCTTTTTAAGTATCAGAGTTGACATAATGCTTGTTGTTTGAAATTACAAGAAGTCTTGCGTCCATGTAACTGATAATACTCCAAATAACACCTTTTAAATTAAAACAAACCTAAAGGGCAACATAATCGTCTTCATGGCTACCCCTTTTTAAGAGTGGAAAGGAAATAATTGCTTTTTTTTCCCTTGTCTTAATACTTTGCAGGTTTTGAATGAAGAATGTGACCAGAACTGGTACAAGGCAGAGCTCAATGGGAAAGACGGCTTCATCCCCAAGAATTACATAGAAATGAAACCACATCCGTAAGTTGGGCTCTGCTGACCCTTCAGGGTCAGACCCGCCTGCCTGTTTCAAATCATGTTTCTAAAATTGAGATCATTGGGATGAATGTCATACTTTTAATTCTGTCTTCCCAGGGAATTAGCAAAGCGTGTTGAGTTTTCCATGTTAATGAGAGTATATGAGAGTATAATAGTAATAGTAGATGTTTTAGGTAATAGCTGTCCGTAATCTTCAAATGATGAAACAGCAGTTATGCAGGCTCATCGTTCTCTTTCCGTGAGACCCTTCGTACCAGATGCGTTTCATAATTCTTCGTTTTTTGAATTTTAGAAAGGGTACTTACCACATGGTTTTGTATTGACATGTTTGGTTTTCCTGTGGGACCATATCTTAATAATCTTTGTATCCCCAGAGCACAATACTTAGCATATAATTGATTTTTAATTAACGTACACTGTAATCACCGCCCTTGCCCTCCACTTCAGTGTTCCACTTCAGTGAAAACAAAATGCTCTCCTACTTAAAATGCTGAGAGCAGTGGAAAAAAAATTTTTTTTTAATTCCAAAACCACTAGTGCCGCTGCACCCCCCCAGCCCAATTTATGTGGATACGTGACATGGTGGGACCCTGGGAGCCCTTACAGACCACTGTCCTCCCGCCCTCACCCACCACCTCTTCTATCGTCCCTGCTCCTCTCTCAAAGCAGTCACTTTCTTGTGAGTATGTCAGAACTGAGGCTGTCATTGCTCAGACCAGAATGCCACTGAGACTCAAAGAAATGTAGGTCCCTGCTATTTGCTTGTTTTAACACAAAATGTAAATAAGACTTTGAGATGACTGCCGCCCTTGAGTAGCAGCCCTTTGTCCCTTTCGCCCATTGTCACCGTTCTAATGTGTCCCAGTCATTTCTCATCTCCCAAGGAATAGAGCAGAGATCCTAACCACACCTTATCTTACACAAATCTTGCAGCACCCTACATAGAACTTAATGCCGTAGAGTTCGAAAGGCCCTTGACAATGGTCTAGTTCATTCCTCGCTATCCTACAAATTAGGAAAGCTTCTAGTATTTTTATTTCAAAACCAGTGATTTTTGAGTATAGTTTTCATTCTAAAAGACTCACAGTGTCAAAAACTATAGAGCAATATATGAATTTCTCCCATACACGTACTCCTTTCAGAGGTAACCACTAGCAATTAAATGTGGCCCAAATGCTACTTCATGAACCCAGTCTGTTCTAAAACGAGGATTTGCCTTCGTAAAACAAACAAATGATTCAGGAGCTTCACCATAAAACTCTTTTGGGTCCATGCCTTAGTCAATAAACTCTTACACGGTTCTTATCATGTAGCAGAGACCGTGCTAGGAGCTGGGAAGTTAGGTTCTGTAGTTAAATTATAGTATAATAAAAGTCCGTGTAGTTAATGTGAAGTTCTTCGAGATACCACATCCAGGAAGCCTTAACCTGGAGAGATAAGCTGGGGTTACCCTACAGTTTGGTAATGGGAAGTCACCTATACAGAAGTTTCCATAATGAAGAATCTGTGAGGTCCTCAAGGAAGTTTTTCCCTTTAAGAAGAACCAGACACCTTATGATGGATCAGTAAATGTTTCATTGAATGATTTGCAGGGAGAAAGCCAGTCTAGCTGATAAAGTATACTTTTCTAGTTTTTGTTTGGAACTTGTACTCTCTAAATCTTTGTAACTATATGAGTTTGATCTCTCCCCCCAGAAGAGATACTAGATTCCTTGGAGAATTTGTCTTCCTCTTTATAAACTCCCTTGTAACCTGCACCTTGCTTTTGTGCCTAGTAGCTCAGAAAGTAGTTCTGATCTGATACTGAGACCCAAATTCTTGTCCAAAGGCCTGGACCAATTTGTTCATGATAATAGAAGCCAAAAGTATTAAATCTTCAAAGGTGCATATGGGAGAGATCCTGACCCTCTGTCAGTAGATTGATAATGTCCCTCATTGGACGTCCCTGTAACATTAGATTGGCGGTTATGGACACGCAGCCATGCCCAGGTTACTAAAATGTAGGCACACATAGTGCAGAAAACTCCAAAAGATGAGATGACTACAGATTCCGGGGACATGCAGGAGGCATTCTTATTGCCACTTAGTGTCCGTATTTGCTTTGGGGGCCGTGTGGGCTTTTCACGGACAGCATCACAGAACGCACTCCGTGGGGGAGGCGATCAGGTGGTGGTTAATGGGAGTCGCAAAGTGTGTCCTCCCTCAGTCCGTACAAGACAGGTGATCTGTGCACATCTACTCCTTCAGTCCGTCCTCAAAATAGATCACGGGTTGGCTAAACTGCTTCTGTAAAGGTCCAGATGATAAATACTTTAACCCTTATGGGCCATGTGCAGTCTTCTGTCATATCACACTTCTTTTGAATTTTTTAAAACCCAGTTCCTAAAAAAAATTTAGACTGTGGGCCATACAAAAACCAGACCAGTTTAGACCAAGGGGCATAATTTGCTGACTTCTGCATTAGATCCAGTGATAACAAAATTAACTTAAGTTCCTTTTCATTTTCATATTTCCAGGCCGAAAGGGAATTCAGCAGAAGCATCAGAGTGTAATTTTTATATTAAATAAAATTCCTGTGGTTCTAAATCCTTGTTTTCCTTCCAGTTGCTTCAGGTGGTGTAGGCATTTCATATCTGACTGTTGAAAACAGAGGAAAGGCCGCCTTCCTTGGATAGTTGCAGTTACTGACACAACTGATTAGCCTTTTAGGAAGAGTCACCCTCATGGCTGCTTCTCTCTTCCCACTATAAAGAGCTTTGGAATAACAGTTGATCTGGAAGCAGCCAGCACAGGCTCGGTGGTGGTGTTCTTCACAGACGTGAGGTGAAAGGCAGGCAGTGCTCATCCAGTCCAAGCTCTGAAAAAGGAAAGCATATTGCCAAAAAAGGCCATGCCCTTGTACCTGTGTGGTGGTTGGCCTTACAGGCCTGTGTCATCTTATGGGATGTGACTGGATGTCCGTGAGTACAGGGTCAGTGTTGTCTCGGAGCTGTGGGAGAGCGCAGAGGACCCGGCCCCCTTCCTTCTCCCCTTCCTCCCTTCCTCCCCCACCTTCTAGTTTTTGTTAGGGAGGAAGAGGGAAGTTTAAAATGGAGTATGACCTAATACTGCATTTGAGCTAACAAATTAAACACAGGCTGCAAAATGATTGTTGGCATTAGTGTTGCAGCATGAGTTGTATATACTGGGGGTGGATCCAAATATATGCTTTTCCCATTAGATGAATATGGAAGGGAGCCTGTAGGATGTAATAAAGAATTGAATTGGAAAGTAAGATGCCTCCTCCCATTAGCTTTCTCCCTTTTTATTTGTATTATAGTATAAACCCATCTTTTTAAAACTTTAAAAAATTTTTTGACCATAGCCATGTAGTTACATATAGATATCACTATTAAAGGAAGCTAATCAAATTTACAAACAGTATAAAATGTTTTAACTGAGAGATAGCTGTTCCTCATATAGTGTCATAGCCCTTACGTCGTGGGACATCCTTGAGAGGGAGGGAGAGTGTGTGTGTGTGTGTGTGTGTGTGTGTGTGTGTGTGTGTGTGTGTGTGTGTGTGTGTTTAGTGAAAACAGGAGCAGATACAAAAAAAAATCTTTAGTAAAATAGTCTCCAAGTAATTTTCTATTTTTCAATCTGGGTGCTGATAACAGGGGTGTGTTTACTTTGTAAAAATTCCAATCAGAGTACTTCACTTCACTACAGTTTTTTAAATTGAAAATGAAAAATGAGTTAATTTTAAGCTGAGGGCAAGAAAACACTGCAGCCATATCTGTGTATTTGTGCACCGTAAGGGAAGGTCTAAAAACATACGCGTCCAACTGCCGACAGTTGCTGCCTCTGGGGAGTTTGAGGAAAGAGTCTTGCTTTTTATTTTTACTTCAGGCTCATCTAAGCTATTTTAATTTATATTCATTACTTATACTTTATAAAAGGGAGAAAGAAAGAACATGCCTGGTGGGAAGACTAGGTGGGGTGGTTTAAGAGGAAAGAGTATGGCTATTGAGTACCTTCAGCCCCCCTCCCAGCCAAGTGCCTACTGTGTGCACGTGCATCAGGAACTGGAGAGCAGAGGGATTCTCAGCTCTGTTAGCTGTCCTTTCAGAGCTGGAGATCGTTCTGTTGTGTTAATGTGTGATTTCTCTTGTGCGCCCTTGTTTCCAGGCAGTGGGGGACTCATTCTCGATTCCATGAATCCCTCACTTTTTCTTGTGACCAAAGTGAATTAGCATTGGGAGCAAAAGAATCTGTAACTTGCTCCGAATGAAAAAAATCAAATTTTGCAACTAGCTGCTTCTGCACAGGGTAAATTACGGCGTTCCTGGTAGTTCTGGGAAGCCACACTCTGAGCAGTGATGGCAGAGAGAAGCCTTGAGAGGAATGCCGACCGGAGCCACGGGTCGAGGCTGCTCCTTCATAGCCCCGATCCTCTCCCCTTGGGGCTGACAAGACCCAGCAGCCCTGTCTGTCTCCAGCTTCTGGGCCTTCCAGCTTTCCTAGCCCCGTTTCTCTTCATCCCACTGAGGCAGAGCTGCTGCCTTATCAAAGGCTGCGAGCAGGGCCTGTCTCCCCTTACGTGGCTCATCCTGTGCTCAAGTCGATAGGCCTGGGCTTTCCCCAGTGCCTCGCTGATGACTCAGGAGGGCGCCCAGGAGGCCCATTTTTAAGTGTCTTCCTCTACAGAGTGGCTCTCGATGGTGTCTCTTGAGTCACTTTCTGGAGAGGGGGGGAAGGGTGAGGACGCCTGAAGGGAGACAGACTCTCTCGGGAGTGACTGAGCAAGTCCCCTGTGGAGACTGAAGGGTAGAGAGGGAGGCCCCTTCCTCTGGCAAGGAGTGTTCTGTTTCTCACATTTCGGAGGCTGGATATCCCGTTTCTTTGTGGGGAAGCAGATGTTGACTGGCTTGCCTTCCTTCCTTAGGTGGTTTTTTGGCAAAATCCCCAGAGCCAAGGCAGAAGAAATGCTTAGCAAACAGCGGCACGATGGGGCTTTTCTGATCCGAGAGAGTGAGAGTGCGCCTGGGGATTTCTCCCTCTCTGTCAAGTAAGTGTTTCCTGCTCTGGTGCCCGGGGTCCTTCTCCAGCTGATGTAAATTGTGAAGCCACAGGCCGGATGTCTGGCTACATGCACCAAAGGTGGCAAAATAGGAGAGGTTTAGCCTAAACAGTGTTTTACAAGTCAGAAAGTTTTACATTAAGATCCTAACTTCTGGCTCCTCATAAAAATTCCCTCTGGCAGCGCTGGGTTTCAGTTCCCATGTGGAAACAGTCTTTAGTTACTGGGAGCAGATACTGGTCGGATTTCCCAAATCCCCACCACTCTGCGGTGTTCTCCACACACACAGCTCTGTCCTCCTCAGGGCCCCCTGCAGCTCTCTTTAACTGATCACCATTTCAGCAGCCTTGTGCATCTTTACCAGATACCAGGGATCTAGCTGAAACCTACCAGCACCAGCCTAGGCCTCTCCTGTTGACTTAAAAGGTTACTACAAGGGTTTTAGGGGTTTTGGCTTTCACAGTGGTAAGTTTAAATGCAGAGGGGAGCAGGGAATGGGGAAGGCTGGAGTTATACCTTGGGAATCATGGAGAATATAAATTGGAACTTGGAAAATCCTAAATTGATCACTCCGCATCCATGACATAAGGATTTTGAATCAAGCTGTCATTTCCATATGTGTTTTGACTCAGTCCATTTCTAACTAGCATATTATCACAGGAATCCCTCCCCTCAGAATCTTACAAATCAGTCATTATTTACATGACAAAAAGGTGGTCAGATTAAAGCTCAGATGACTTTTAGTACAGATTGCATTGATTATTTTAAAATGAAGACTGAAACAATTTGCCATTTACAAATGATACAAAGATTTTCCAGTTTCAAAAATCAACTGAATATCTTGTTTCATTTTAGGACCAAATGTGTGGTTACAGTGTAGATTTTTTAAATGTAGATTTAAATTTAGAATTTTTGTGTTCTTTCTCGTAGTGAAGATATAGGAGGTGGTTTCAGGTGATATTTGCAGTATCTTACAGATTTGTTTCCAGTATAGTTAGATTTTAGTCCCAGCGTGAAAAAATTAAGCTGGATCTAATTATTGGTTTTCTTCTTTTAACAATGGCTTTTTTTTTTAGAGCAGTTTTAGGTTCATAGCAAAATTGAGTGGAAGGTACAGAGATTTCCCGTGTACCCCCTTACTCCCACGTACATAGAAACAGTGGGTTTTTGATGTGCTTGATTAAACACATGCAAATGAGGATCTGGTGAAGAGCATCTTGAGGTGGAAGAGTCTTTAAGCTTCTAGTTAACTTGTGTTTCTTCATCTATTTTCCTTACATTTTATACTGACCTGAGTATAAATCAAACAATGGAGGACGAGGAATACAAGCAATTAATCCTTGAATAGTGGCCCAAAACCCCGTGGCAGTTAGCGTTCCATTGTCCGATTACCAGGGTCCCTGCCGGTGTTCATGCCCTGCCTGCCAGGAAGCCCCTCCCCCCATTTCATTTTATCAAATAAAACCTTTAAAGAGTCCACATACTTATTGTTCTAGAAATAAAATTTGGAACAGATGTCATAACCACCTTTAACAACACAAGCACCTGCACAAAGGAGATTCACGAATCCACAGTCTCTAGTTTCAAGGTGTGGTGAGTCTGCAGTGGAAAAACTGCTACTTAACAGCTCATTGTCATGGACTCTTGTACTTTTTGCAGAAACCACCTGCATTGCATGGTGGGAGTGGGCTTCCGTGGGGCCTGAAGTCCGTGGGGCTGAAGTGTCATTTGAGTATGTCCTTCCTCATAGAACTTTTCTCCCCATCTACCTTTTTCCCCACATAGCAATGCTATGAAATAGCATTACTGTCTCTAAACACTTGGTAGCTCCTGTTCAGTGTCTTCCCTGAAGCTCAGTGCTGCCACCTGCTGGGCTGTCTTAAAGAAGTGTTTATGCTTTAATGTTGATGGGAGGGGAGACTCGTTCATTGACTTAACAGATCTTCAGAGAGTGCCTTTTGAGGGCTGGGCACTGGTGTGGACACTGAGGACTCAGCAGAAAGTGGGACAGGCACAGCCTTCGCTGAGCTGATGCTCGAGGCAGATAGTACAGTGGCCACTCAGGTTCTTGCTACCTGTGTGGGTCAGTATAAAAGGGGGCATTTACCTTCCTACCAGGTGGTAGAGAAGCCTTGAGGGGGGTGTGCCTGGGCCTCTTCTTTATGTTCCAGCACATTCTTTTGTTCTGAGACCTTTTCCCCATGAGTAGAACTAAAATCCCTGAGTGGAAAACATGACTTTAAACTCTTCCCAGTTGCAGTCCCTCCTCTTCTCACCTTATTTCCTGTCCTACCTTTTGTACTCTTTAAACAGCACATAAGATTTCAGTTCTTTTTCTATTTAGAGCACATAGAGGCATTCCATAGGTTAGGACAGTTCTCTTTTTATTTACAAATGTCCCCAGAATTAGAAAGACTGCCAGACAGGGTTTCCCTGTCTGGTGAGGATTCTTCTTGTTGTCGCTGGTAATTGGCAGTCCTGATGGAGGGGTCTCGTCGCTCCACGATTACCCTAACTCTCCAGCCAAGGAGTCAAGCTGGGCCTCTCAGCTTGTGGGAGGTGTGGCCAGAACACTAGTTCTTTCAAGATGCCTCCTTGGTGGGCAGGTGGCCCTGAGTAGCTGGGACCAAGCCCTCTGGCCTGTTCTCACATGTGTCCTCTGCCCCTCCCCAGGTTTGGAAATGACGTGCAGCACTTCAAGGTGCTCCGAGACGGAGCTGGAAAGTATTTCCTCTGGGTGGTGAAGTTCAATTCTTTGAATGAGCTGGTAGATTATCACAGATCTACATCCGTCTCTAGAAACCAGCAGATTTTCCTCCGGGACATAGAGCAGGTGCCACAGGTAAGCCTCATGAGCAGTGAGAGCAAGATCAGTTTTAGTAACTAAGAATAGCTCCAAAAAGAATATGAGATGAATATGTGTATGTTCGTGTGTGACTGAAGCATTATGCTGCACATGAGAAATTGGCACAACATTGTAAACTGACTATACTTCAATAAAAATATTTTAAAAAATAGCTCCTCAGATGATCCAGCAATCCCACTCTGGGCATATATCCAGAGAGAACCTTAATTTGAAAAGACACAGGGAGAAGATAGCTCAAGTGGCAGAGCGCATGCTTAGCATATACGAGGTCCTGGGTTCAATCCCCAGTACCTCCATCGAAAAACTAAATAAATAAATAAACCTAATTACCACCCCCCCAAACAAACACAAAATTTTTTTTTAAAAAAAAGAAAAAAAGGAGAAGATACATGTGCCCCAATGTTCACAGCAGCAGTATTTACAATAGCTAAGACAAATGACTGGATAAAGAAGTTGTGGTATATTTCTACAATGGAATACTACTTAGCCATAAAGAGGAATGAAATATTGCCATTTGTAGCAACATGGATGGACCTGGAGATTGTCATTCTAAGTGAAGTAAGCCAGAGAGAGAAATTACCATATGATATCACTTATATATGGAATGTTAAAAAAAATGTATTTACAGAACAGAAACAGACTCACAGACATAGAAAACATGGTTATGGGGGTCTGGGAGGAAGGGCGTTGGTAGGGATAAATTAAGAGTTCAAGATTGGCAGATACTAGCTACTATATATAAAATAAACAAGGTCCTACTATATAACACACTGAACTATATTCAGTATCTTGTAGTAACCTATAATGAAAAATAATATGAAAACAAATATATGGATGATTGAACTATTATGCTGTATACCAGAAATTGACACAACATTGTAAATTGACAATACTTCAATTAAAAAAAAAGAATAGCTTCTTAGGCGTGTGCTTAGTATGCACGAGGTCCTGGGTTCAGTCCCCAGTATGTCCACTAAAGAATAAAGAAAAAGGAAAAAATCTTAAATTAGTATCAACCTTACCAAAACAAACAAAAAAGGAAAAGAATAGCTCCTTGGGCAAGTGGGTGTTTTTTTCAAAGGATCACCTCTGGGGCTTCCGTACTCATTATTCAAAATGTCGTCCTTAAGATTTGAAGTTTGAAATAAGAAATAGTTTTGCCTTTTCCAGAGGCTGCCTCTCTGAAGTTACGTGTTGCTAGTTAACCTTGTGTCTCTAGGAACAGAGTCTAACACACACTCAAATATCCTTGAAGTCAACTGTGAAGAAAACCATACTTGTAAGGGAGGTGGGATCCACACTCACTCCTGTATTTGTTTCTCAACTCCTGGTCGTGTGTTTTGGTTAGCACCACCTTATTTTATTCAAGCTCTTAACCTTTGACTCTAAAACCTTAATAAAGATTTTGTAAGTGACAAAGTGATAGGAACTAAAACGTTTATTTTCGCATCTGGGATTGTAAACAAAACTTCCCAGTGGCTGTTCCCGAAGTTCTTTCCCCTCAAAACAGCATGTGCTTCTCTGCTTAATGATAGGGCCCAACCGGGCGCTGTCAGGGGTGTGCACCTGAGTGTTTTTTGGAGCACTGATGAAAGATTACATGGCCCCCAATCTGTAAGAATTAGTGGAACGAAGGGGAGAACTGGGGGTTATTTTAGGAACTGTGAATAAGCTGGCGCACGTCTGTTTCCCCCAATCACTAGTCCCGCTCACGAGGGAGCTGGGCTGTGACACGGATGCAATGTGTGTTCTCCCCCCGCCTCTCTTCTGCAGCAGCCAACGTATGTCCAAGCCCTCTTTGACTTCGATCCCCAGGAGGATGGAGAGCTGGGATTCCGCCGGGGAGACTTTATCCACGTCATGGATAACTCAGACCCCAACTGGTGGAAAGGGGCTTGCCACGGGCAGACCGGCATGTTTCCGCGCAATTACGTCACCCCCGTGAACCGGAACGTCTAAGAATCGAGATTATTTAAAGAGAGTGGAAAATTTTAAACACATACAAAAGAATTAAACCCACAAGCTGCCTCTAACAGCAGCCTGTGAGGGAGCTCAGAACACCTGGCTGGGTCACCTGGTGACCTCCTCTCACTTTGGTTGGAACTTTGGGGGGGTGGGGGGGGAGTTGGATATAACAATGCCAAAACTTACCTATAAATTAAGAAAAGAGTTTTTATTACAAAATTTTCACCGCTGCTCCTATTTCTCTTCCTTTGTCCTTTTTTTCATCCTTTTTCTCTTCTGTCCATCAGTGCATGACGTTTAATGCCACATATAGTCCTAGCTGATGCCAATAATAAAAGAGAAGAAACCAAGTGGGCTGATATTTTCTCTATGCAAAATGTCTTGAGTCGGAACGACAGGAGAACAGCCGTTCCTGTGTTCCGCGTATATACACACAAAAGGCGAGGCGGGGGGCCTTGCTGTTGAGCTTCTGCCAGAGGAAGATGGGGGCGAGCAGGAACCTGCCCTGCAGCCCCCCAGCCCTGCTGGTATATTTGGTCAAAGTCCGACGGAGAGAAGGGGTGACGGGGGAGTGGTGCCCCTCAGGCGTCCTGCGAGCCAGGCCCCAAGCTGATGTCTCTTCCACTGTCTTCCCTTTCCAGTGGTGTTCTCCAGCATGTTGTTTCTCATAGTGCCTTTTGCCTCATTTCAAGGGTTGCTTCTGAGTGGTGTTTTTTATTTGTTTTGTTTTAAAATAAGTTAAAGACAGTCAGCCAATTTGTCTCCTACTCTGTGTAAATATTTTCCCCTCGGGGGAGGGAAAGCAGGGTAGAGGAGACTGAAGTGAGGGTGTGGGCGTCCTGCCGTGCAAAGCCAGAGTCTCTCAGCTTTAATATCCGTCAGCCCTTCCTGCCCCCCCCCCAAGTTGAAGGGGCCAGAGCCCTGGTATCTGGAGTCGTTACCCTGGAGCGTAGTGTGACCCAGTTGCAACGCCTCCCCCCCTTAACGCCTGCCTGGATCCGGCTGAAAGGGGGTCAGGGTTCTTGACCTTGTGGTCTCAGGTGTTGTCCGCCCCCTCCTTAGCCCCAGTGGCCCCCAGGCGCCAGGCTAGTGCCAGCAAGTTTCAGACACAGAAAAGCCCAAGGAGTTGAACTGTATCAGATTATACCATGTTTCTGCACTGGGGGGAAAATGTGAGTTTTCACTTTCTTTTTTTTTTTTTTTTGTCCCTGAAAGCTAGAGGTATCTGTTCATGGCTCTCACCTTTTGTGTCCCCTACCTGACCTGCCCAGGTGAGCTTAGGGCAGCATTCAAGAAGCAGCCTGGGTGATTTTTCATGTCCCTGTTCACAGCGGGCTGTGTTCATAGCTGCTCCACCCGACCCCCTGAAAAGGAAATACCTCCATGAAGCAGGGACACTTGGAAGGAAGGGTTGCAAATCTAGGAAGACTGCAACCATTGCAAAGCTCTTTCTGTCTGCCTCCTGTCGGCTTCTTGTCCCTTGTGGTGATGTGCCTGCGAACTCTCCCCTCACCCCGTCCCCTTCCCGCAACCAAAACGGGGCCACCAGGACTTGGTGACAGCCTTTGGGTTCTGAAGTGGTCGGTCAGCGTCCCACGGGCTGTGGTCATAGAGCCGGACTTGGCCGGGAGCATTGGGAGGCCCCGGAGGCTAGAGCATCGCCTCTCCCGCCCCCGCTCTGCTAGCTTCTCCTTTCTTCGCTGATGATAAAAGGAATCTCTGGCATTCTACACCTGGACCATTTGATTGTTTTATTTTGGAATTGGTGTATATCATGAAGCCTTGCTGAACTCAGTTTTGTGTGTATATATTTAAAAGAAAATCAGTGTTTAAATAAAAAGACCTATGTACTTAATCCTTTAACTCTGCGGATAGCATTTGGTAGGTAGTGATTAACTGTGAATAATAAACATACAATGAATTCTTCACTCTGTATCTTTTCTTTTTTTCCCCCTTCGCCTTAAAGTAAAAACCTAAAAACTCTGTCAGGGAGTCAGGACACTTGTGTCCTTATTTTCGACTCACCTCGCTCCTTGGGGAGCATGTTGGTCTTGTGAGGCTCCCAGAGGCGTGATGTCCACACCACACTGCTCATCAGAGCCCCAGACCCCACCCTCCACACTCCAAGGGCACCAGCCAGTGCGCCTGTTTTTTCCAGCAGAAGCCGTAGGCCATGCTGGTCTAGACCCAGCGCCTCATGAGAACAAAGGACACGGCTGGCTTGGTGCTCGTTCCCTCCCCCCACCTAGATGAGGGACAGAGGGACAGAAGGAGTGTCAGTGCTGGAGCAGTCTCCTGTACTGTGTAGCAAACTCGTCCGCCCAGCAGGCTGCTTTTGGGTGAGACTGGGCCTGCTGAACCACCCACAGTCCTGGCTACAGGAGGCCAAGTAAGACTTGTTTAGAGAGAGAACAGAAAAGACACGAAACCCCAGGAGTTTCCACTTGTGTTCCCGATCCAGTTTGTAACAGAGCCCAGCACGCTGCCTCAGTTGCGGCTCCCTTGCTCGGACGAGAGTCTTCACTCCTTCCCTTCTCTGCAGTGACCGTGAGAAAGAACTTGACCCTGAGCTGCCCTGTTGGAGGCTGCTGGACTCAAGGTCTTCCACCCCACCCCCGCCAAGGATGGCTCCTCCAAAGCTGAGCAGAAGTTTCCAGCACGGGGCCATTTAAGTGAAAACTTTCGGCGGTGATTGTCAGCCTCACTAAGGCTTTTTGTCCTGTTTGGCCTCAGAATAGCGTCAGGACTCATGGGAAGATGGCTGCTTTTGCTCAACCAGTTTGGCAACAAGTTGTATCCCCCTATGACCACGACCACGGGTCTGTAATTCCTGGGGAGGGAGGCCTCTGGGTGAGATCGCCTTTGGGGAGACTGCCGTGGGATGTGGTGGGACAGCTTAGGCTGGTGAGTGGCCTTGCGTCCTTCCCTTGCTGGACTCACCCTTCAGAGCAGCCCTCCAGATCCACCAGCTTGCCTTCGTACTTAGTGACCTGGGAGTCTGCCTGTAACAGAGACTCCTTCTCAAACATGACTGTGGACTGGATAGTGGTGACAACCCCTCCCGAGCACGCTGGGGCTGCCGAGGTGGCACATTGGAAGGAGAAAAGCTGTGGGCACGTGGGCTGCCTTTCCTTGACCCTTGTCCCCTTGCTCTGCTTACAGGATGTGATCTTCAAGTCAGAACTTTCTGCTCTTCCAAGGTGCCTGGATAATTAGGAGCAATGATCGTGGAATTGTATTTACGTGGGAAATACTTGTGATTTACATGTTACGCAAATTCCCCAGGTCTGATCCGAGCCCTGTTTTTCACAGAAGAACAAGAGAAGCTGCTTACTTCTATGTGTTCCTTGGAGGGCTTCTCACACGTGGGCTCGGGGGTTACAGGCTTCTCCTTCCAGCCAAGTCCCAAGGCAAATACGTAACGTGCTCACTACCAAGACGGCTGGCATCAAAATCCAAAATTAGCACCGAATCTTAGTTTTTTTCCATCAGTGTTGAGGAGGTAAGAGTACCATTTTGTGTGCCAACAGCCCTGGTCCATAAAGACAAGGCAGTAGTGGGGTTAATTGACTTGCTACTCAGAGCATTCCAAACGCTGCTTTAAAACTGATTTACAACTGACGGGAGTTCGTTTGAAAGGTATGCCACATCCCATCCAAAACGCTGACTTGAGACAGCCTTTCAGGACTTGATTCTGGCCCATCTGGTAAGCAACACTGGTCTTGGGTCTCCAAGGACAGCCTTCCTGTTTAATATTCCATCCTCTTGTCAGATGTATCCGGAAGTAGGATTTTAAAAGCACGGCCATCGCAGCTGTCTTCTGAGTGAACAGTTACTGTAGTACAAAGGAGCTAGAGTGTCGTGAGTGCTCCGGGTCTGTGTAAGGACTGGCCCTGAGCTGCCCCCAATCCCCGTGTCCTGTGCTGGGGAACCAGAGGACTTGCTGAGGGCTCCTTGGGGCAGTTTACAGGGTGAACTTCATTCCTGGGGCATGTGGTGCCCTCTTCTATCTGGAACTGGACACCTCTCCCCTCTCTAGTTAGAGGGCTGAGCCCGTCTATATCCCTCCCCGACCCCCGGACCATCAGCTGCCCCCGTTTCCCCTCCTATATGGTCCGCATCTCTGCCCTGACTCATCCTGAGACTGGAAATTACCCACTTTGGGCTTCTCCTGTACTCGACACCAGTGTGTTCTTGGGTGGTGATTCTCGTATTAATGGGCAAGTCCATGGGCAGAGGATTTCAGACAGGAAGTGTGGACAACAACTACTAGAGGAGGAGAAGGCTGGAGGCGGGTGGAGGGCAGGTGGGACTGAACCTGGTCTGGGGGAGATTGTTTTGAACAGGACGAGCGGACCTACAGGGCAGGCAGTGCAGTGTCAGTTGGGGTGTGTGGTGGGAAGGAGCCCCGTGTTGGGACACTGGTTTAAAAGGAGCCCGGGTGGCCTCCTGCAATGAGGAAAGAGTCCAGGTGGGACTTGGAACGCCAGCTGAACAACGCCCACTTTTCCTGCTGACTCAGAAGGGGTGGCAAGTCTGGGAGATGAGTGTCAATGGAAGATGAGTTCTAGGAAGACCTGACTTACCGTAGTGGAGGGAACATAACAGAATAGCCTGGAAGAGGCAGTTGAGAGTGTGACAGTTTAAGGGTACGAGGAGCTGCGGCAGAGCCCAGCCCTTCTCGTTCCTTCTGGCCAGTCAGCCAGGTACATGCCAGCCTCCCTGTGACTGGTGTGACCATGTGACGGAGTCCTGGGATGTAAGTGGTAGGTGCCACTTCTAGGCAAGGACAGCCATGCAGTCCTTGCTTTCTCTCCCCCGCTGCCTGCTGCCCTGGAGAGCCAGAGAGGACTCGGCCAGCTCACCTGCCACACCTGGCATGAGAGGGAAATGAAAGATCTGATGTCCTGCACCTATGACACCGGGGGCTCTTTGTCACAGCATTACCCACCCTGATGTCCAGCGGGCCTCACTGGGGACCAGTGAGGAAGGCAAAACCTGAGAGGCACTGCTGAAAGTGTTAGGTCTCAGGGGAGGAAATGGAATCGCTCATCACCACCTCAAATATAAGGAAGCAGCCGTATGTCCTCCAGCTGATTTGGCTGAGCTCTGCCCGTTTTCTCTCGTTATCCTGACTGCCTCCTGTCCTTGTCCAGTCACGAGGCTGGCAGTCGTTGAGATGGTCCCATGGTTCACTCAGGCCTCTGCTCAAATGTGAGCGCTCCCTGAACAGCATGGGTCCCCACCTTGCCTCTGGCTCACTCTTTCCCCACCACACTCTGGGTTTCTCTGCAGCCCTCTCACTGCCTCACTTCCTGAGGGCAAACTCTCTGCCCAGCTCGCCCACCAAACCGTAGGCTCCCCTGGGCAGGGACTCGGTCCCCAGTGCATCTGTTGCACCTGGAAGAGCCGCTGAAACGCCTGGGCTCCCAGCCATAGTGTCCATCATCTGATAGGAGAGCGCGCCCCATCTTGGCTGCGAACAAGCCAACAGTGCCAGCCTCCCCAGCGCCCAGTCATGTCTCAGTGGGAGGAGCCGCATGAGTAAGGGGGAGTGTAGGAGTTTGGGGGACTTGCAGCAGCGGATCCCACCTGTCTGGGGGTCGGGGAAGATCAGACAGTTGTGCATGAACAGAGCTGAGAGCCAAACAGGATGACGGCCCTGAGGCCTCAGACAGGATTGCCCTGTGGGTTCCAGAAAAGGCTGAGTGGAGGCGGGGGCCCGAGGAGAAGTGGGTGCAGGGACAGAGAGGCCAGATGAGGCAGGGCTATGGAGCCATGAGAAGGAGCTGGAAGTGGGGAGCCCTGGGGAGTTAGGAGTTTGGGGGGACTTTTTTAAGCTTTACAGAGATTCAGCTCACTATCTAACAAGTCACCTATTTAAAGTCTACCATTCGAGGGGAGGGTATAGCTCAGTGTAGAGTGCCTGCTTAGCATGCATGGGTTCAATCCCCAGTACCTCCATTAAAAAATTAACTAAGTAAATAAATAAACCTAATTACCTCTCCCCCAACAAAAAAAAATAAGTATACCATTCAACGATGTTTAGTACCATTCACAGAATTATGCAATCAGTTTTAGAACATGTTCATCATCCCTAAAAGAAACCACATCTCCATTACCAGTGACTTGCCATTTCTCCCCAACCCATCCCAGCCCCTGGCAACTACCCATCTACTTTCTGTGACTATGGATTTGCCTATTCTGGACATTTTGTGCAAACGGGATCATATAATACATGGCCTTTCTTTTGCTCAGCATAATGTGTCCAAGGCTCATCCAGGTGGTGACCTGTATCAGTCCTTCATTCCTTGTTGTGGCCGAATAACACTCCCTGATGTGGAGACACCAGATCTGGTTTTTCTGTTTGTGCCATGATGGGCTCTCGGGCTGTCTCCACTCTTTGGTTGCTGCAAACATTCATGTTGAAGGTTTTACGAGGACATATCCTGAGGGAGTTTAAGCAGAGGAGCAGACAGGGTCCGGTTTGCCTAGAACAGTGGAGAAAGGGGGCCACAGAAGAGACGGCTGCAGTTGTCCTGGTGACGGAGCGGCAGGGGGAGCACCAAGAAGCTGGTTCATCTGAGCCACATGTAGGAGGATGGGCCGGCAAAACGTGGAGGTCAAAGAAAAGGACAGGGGGCGATGACCCCTAGGATCCTTGCTTGAGCTGGGGGAGCCCTGTGAGTGCTGTTAATTGAGGCAGGGACCCCTGGAGGACAGAGAGCGGGGTGCAGTGGGGAGAGAAGGCAGGCAGGTTGAATTCGAGGTGCCTGTGGACAAACGTCTGAGAGCAGCAGCCTGTGTTCGCCTATAGTTTAAGAGATGAATCTGAGCAGGGGACTCGGATCAGGGGTTGTGGGTGTGGAGGTGACCCTGCAGCCCCAGCCCTGGGCGAGACCTCCCACTCCACTCTGTGAGAGAAGAG